TGGACTCATTGAGAGACACTAATCATAACTTAGCATGCTACAATATGTAAACCTAATCACTGCTTGTGTGGTGAGAGAACATGCATTTCTTTTTGCAACTAAACAACCTTGTGATGTGTTGGGTCATCCTTTGAACATGTGACCAGAATAAACATTAAATTTGATCACATAGCTCTGGGATGCCGCAACAGTCACAACTTTATGAATAAAACTCACTTGATCATCCTGGAAATTTCAATTCCACTGGAATAGTGGGTCTTGGATGTTTTATGCATTCTTTAATGTAGCAGATTGTAGGTACCTTGATTCAAAAATAATACACCAATTGGGCTAACTTCAGGGTGCAAACAGACAAACATACCATGGAATGTGTGGATGTCTTGGGGAGAAAGATGCTGTTTAAGAAATAATCAGACAATATAGGCATTAATTGGCTTAATGGACAGAGAAAAAAACTTATGAAGTACCTACCCTAATAAATTAAGCAGTTAAAAGTGGTGGTACAAAGTTTGTATTTTCTAACTTGTAAGATTCACTTAGTGTAGCCTTATGATAAGGTAGAATTAGTTCATCATATCATCTTTCTGTCTGGTTTACCTGAGGGGTTTACCACAATGAGAATTTTAGCAGTTTATAGAAAATACTTTAAAAGTTTAAATGAAACTATCATATAATCATTGCTACTATTAACTGCTTATTATAACCTTTTAATAATATTTTCAAGTCTTTGTTCCTTCTGATATCACTTTTTGATCGATTGATGCAAACAGTTATCTCAGTTTTGAATTTGCAATGACCTTCACTGAAAGACCTTGCATTAAAAACATTTAGAATTGGATTCATAAATTCATTTAATAAATGTTTGATAACTTTGCTTTCACAAATTGGTCCTAATTGCCATTTCTAGTTACTCTGTTGTGTAAAGTACATGATTAAATGTAATCACTAATTGAGAGTAGCACAACTGCAGCAAAATCACAACATTTCCTCGTGGGATCTCTTTACAGTTTTAAAATCAGTCCTGGACCTTTTTGTACCCTTACAATTGTATGTGTTGAATTACTGAGCCAGATATTTTCTACCTAATACACAATATATGAAAGAGAGAGAAAATGAGATTTTTCCATTTGCACCATGAAGTTCTGCTTGTAAATGGATGGTTTTCTGACTTGCTCATAGGTGGCAACCGTCAGCTATCCAGGCTTCAGTTATTGTAATATTCTGTCAAGGTCTTTAAAATGGAAAGGTGGTTTGACTTCTTTGCAGCTTTCCCTTTACAGCAGACACTTAAATTTGTTTTGCGTAGGCCAGATAGGCATATTGCATATCTGATTTGTCTTTAAAACAAAGACAGGGCTGTTTTCGTTCTTTGTAGCAGCCTAGGCAATGAGGGTTGGGGTAAAATTGTCAAAAGTTGAACAAATCATTCAAATCATGGGAGCATGTCAGAGTTACAAAGATATGCCGAGTTTAAAAGAAGATATGTCAATGCAAATATTTGAGTGTGGTCAACAGACTATATGATTTAAAAAGCAAAAATCCATAAAAGAACAAGTACAGTCATCATTCTATAAGTAAACAAGGAGCCTGGGAAATAGGACTAATGCATTATATTAAGTCATGTAGCATATATAGCATGAAGTTTAGTGCTTATTCCCACGGCCACATTCAGAATCAACCAGTATCTCAGTACTAGAATGTTTTACTCAGGTTAATATTAATCCTGAGTAGATTAGCCAAGATCAACTAGCAAGGCTGAAGAATTTTGGATCATAGCAGTATAGCCAATCAGCTTTAACTATAGCATATTCCATTTCTGTTTCTGCAGATAAAGGCCAATCAATACTGTTGCATAGTTTTGCTCCATTAAACTTACTAAAGATTGCGATCTAGGATCTGCAATAGAACATTGGGTGGACTGGAAAGAAAGATTTTATAATTCATTTTCTCTACAGATTTCCTATGAAAAAATCATCCCTCAGTTTTTTCATGCAAAAAAGAAATCAGCTGGGGAAAGATTATTTTTAGCCAGCAACAAAACAGAATAACAAAAACTTTCTCATCCCAGGACAATTAAAAAGTTCCTGGCCTCAGGTGATCTTTTACAGCAACCTGGAATTTCTTGTTTTTATTTAATGTGCTGCCAGGAAGAAAAATACTCACAGTCCAGGATCACATGCATTCATTACTATACTGCGCAGGCTACATAATAACTAATTTAGAAGAGAAATTGCAATGTAAACCTAACTTTGTTTTCTACTGGGTGGAGAGCATTAGATGAGTAGTTCCAGATGGAAACATATCTGTACATATCTCATCAAATTTCTATTTGTATGTCTGCTTCACTCAAGCAGTGAAGCCAGCAAAGGAAGGTGTGGTGAGTACAGCATAAGGGCACAGAGCCTTCTTCTTAAGTCTGTTTGTAATGTGTATTATAGACAACTCTGAAACAACATAAACACCTTACTATTTGCTTGGGTGTAAGAAAAGTTTCCCACCAACAATGAAAGACTTACAATATATTATGCAAGATACAGAATTATATAATAAGCTAGCTGTTGGTAACCAATCAATTAAATACTCACCCTGGGTTCTTGTTCTTTTATAAAACTTCAAATAATAAATTTACCTGAGATTTGGTTGTAGCTTCCATAGACTTCCAAAAATTATTACCAGTTCTAATATTTTGACTGAAAAGGACAATTATTTCATATATGATAGAGAGCAAATACTATCAGTTAGCCTGGATTCAAAGGAATGTAAAAGAGAGATAATTAAGTTTAGTTTTTTTCTGGCTCACCCTATTTCTTTTTGGGGGGTTAAGTACAGTGTGATTACATAAATAAATGGATAATAGCAGACCTTAACCCTCACACATCTTCTTGTAAAGCACTAAAAGCACTATTCAGATCAATGTCAGGCACTAGGATAATACTATTTTTTTCTTCTATTCAGTTGTCTAATTGTTGAGAAATGTAAGCTTTGGGGTGCATTTTTGAGCAACTCCGGATAAAGAGGATTCTTGCAGAAGCTAAAAGCAAATTAATCAAATTAGCATTGTTTGACAAAGTATCTTCCCAGCCACTGACATGTGCACCATTCTCTTGCCATCTGTTTATGCCTTTTGTGAAAAGGAATCTGAATTTCCAAATTCAGTTCTTCCAGGCTCTTAATCAGGCACAACAGAGAAGCATCCACACTCCTTTATGGATTGGATCTAAAAGTGTGCAATAAAATAAAAATGCAAAAACATGAGGATTTATACTTGAGAATTTTCTCCTTCCCAAATTTGTGAAATATTCATACTCTTGTTTAAATAAGCATTATAATTGTTCTGATCTAAGGTCACTTTGTTCACTGATAAACATGAGGTATCGCTTTGGCTGTGTTGACATACACACATCTAGAGACCCCATCTGGGCTGATTCCTCCTCAACCACAGAGAACAGCTGCTAGTATGAGAGATAGAAGACAGGAAGGAAGGCCATAATATACTTATGTACCTGTCCTTTGACCAGTTCTTCAAAGCTTTAAATTAATTACTAAGTATTTTGATGAGTAAAATTATTACTTTTCTCTACCCTATCCCTAAAGTCTTAGGTTTCATGTTAGTTCTATTTTTAATTTCTGTTTTTTTTTTAAAAAAAAAGCTTTCCCTGCTTCTGTACTTCTCAGCTATCTCCCGCCATCAATACTTTTGTAAAAAACTGTTTATATTGCTAACATAATATAAACAAGTACACTTGACATACCCACACCTCAAGCCCTTATAAACAGAAGAACACCAACACTGACAGCCCCTAAATTCTGCTGGAGATGTTACCTAGCCTGGTAACAAAATGTTCGGAAACCAACTCACAAGCTCAGAGAACAAATCTTCACCCTCAATTTTTACTATATTAGCTTTAGTTTTTTTTAAATACTTTTGAGAGCTGCTCTAAGTTGTGCTTGATAACATGGGTGGTTACATAAGCTGAATGAATGAATGGACGAACAAATGAATGAAATACTTTATTTTCTTTTTGAATCACATGCTTTATACAATGGTTATATTCTCCTTTAAGATTAATTTTTGTAAAATATTTAACATTTTTCTAATATTTAAACATTTAACATTTAAATATTATATTTAACATAAACATATCTAATATATAAGATATGTTTACCTACATTATCATTATTATTATTACAGATGTAAGAAAACACTAACAGGAGAATAATTTTATAATAGCCTAGAAATGTAATGAATCACAGACCATAACATTCTCTTCTACCTAAATCAGTTTTACATTTTAATCTCAAGATATGTTGAATTTAGCCTGTACTAGGCCATGTAGTTTATAGACTAGTGATTCTTAACCTGTGGTCTATGGATCCCCTGGGGGCCAGTGATGTCATCATGGGGGAATCTGCAAAGGCTTGAAGAAATGTTATGATTTAAATCTTGAGTTAAATGTTGGAGGTCCCTGGCCATGGTTCATGGCTACAAAGGATATTTAAAAGCGGTTCGTGGTGAAGAAAAGGTTGAAAACCACTGTTATAGACCAAGATGCAATTCTGCATCTAGTGCAGCATGATTTGGTTGTGGTGATTTTACTCAATTATAAACAAGGTAATAAAGTTATAGTTTTATACTTAAGAAGCAACACATCTCTGAGTCAATGTCATATGTAAATGTTTTGCACTGTTATTTCATGTTTATTTTGCAAAGAAAAGAGAGAGGCCTAAACAGAAGCTTGTTTTGAAAGTAAACACTTCCCAGAGGTAATTACATATTATATGTAAATATGTGAACTACAATTTTAACTTGAGCTGCTATGTGGACAAGAGACATTTGAATTTCTCCTTATGCCTCTTCCTCTCCCTTGTGGCTACTATTCAGAAGGTAAAGGTTAGAACTATTAAATGAAATCATGCATTTGATTCAATGTCAAATAGACATTTGAAATAACATTTGGATATATATATATCTATGTATCTTTTTGTGTATTGTCAGAAAACCAAAGTCTGCTGAGAGATTTCCTCTTTTGCTTCCTAGAAAACAACATGACAAGAAAGGGATCAACTGGCTCCCAAAACAGCTGCAGAGAACTTGCTATGTTCTTCCCTGTCAGAAAGAATACAGTACCCTGTTCCAGCTGCCAAAATGCATTTTAACTGTAGAAATTGAAATAACCTCTTTTTTTAATTAATCTCAACTTCTTTGGCACATAATATTTTTCTAAAATTGGGATAAAATTATAACTAACATATTTAGCATTAATTACACTTTTAACATGTCTTTAAATAATTTCTGTATGATATATTTGTAGTTGTCAAGATAAGCTATGGTAGTATAATGGATATTCTGTACTAAGTCAATATTTGAGTGTAAAATGTTAGGAACAAAATACAAGAAAGAACTGTTTACAAGGTTCTTTCAAGAATCTAGATAGTATTTGGAAACAATACTAATTATTTTTATTAAATTATTTTTATATTGCTTTTCACTATGAAAAATCCAAAGCAGTTTACATACAATTTTCCTTAAAATATTTTAAATATAAATCAGGATAAAAACATATTTGTCAAATTACAAATTTTAGGAGGAATCTATAACTGGGAAAGGCTAACATAAAAGACAGTATTTTACAAGGTGCCTGAAATCCAGTTTTCCACAGGCACAAAATGAAGAAAACCTGGCTCCATGTAACCACCGTGTCACAATTCATAAGCCATGGCAGAGAAAGCAGTTCCCCCTCCCGAACATGTTAAGCCCTGGGAGGCTGATGGAACTGGGCACATTCTTTAACTTAGTCCCAAGTTAAGGATTTATATATACTACCATCTTGAATCTAGATTGGCCGCCTGCACAAATTTTATTTTTAATGTTGGTATAATGATGTGCATGGCCTGACAAACTACTACATTCTTTACTAGCTGCAGCTTTTAAATCAGTCTCAAGGATAAAGCTATATAGAGCATATTACAGTAATCCATTATTGAAATTATTCATGTAAAAATTACTATAGCAATTTATCTTTACTCAGAAACAGATGCAACTGGCATACTCCCCTAAATTAGGAGTTGACACTAGCCATGGAGGTCCTCTAGGCAGGACTTCTATGGCTAGAAACATTTATTTTCCATAGAGTCCAACAAAACAAAATGTACAAATAATGATTTCTCTATGGTTATTTCATATGTTTACAGCAGGAGACAGACTATTTTGCAGCTCAATTCTGGAAGAGATTTCAAGGTCAGTCCAGCAATAGTGTTCAAAGAAAGCTTATTTAGAAGAGAAATAGTTATTCAAAGAAAAAAGTGGTATTCAAAGCAAGCCTTTCAAAGAAAACAGTTGAAAGAAAGCTTTTTTGGTTTAGTCAGAGGGTTGGAATTTTTTCATGTAGGGTTTTTCTGTGGACAACAGTTGGAAAACATAGTAGTTCCCAGAAACTTATGATAAAATAGATTGTCTCTGGTATACCTTGGTATATGGGCTGGCAAGTTGTACAAAGCCAATAGTAATTAAATTAAATTAAATGAACTGTTACTTCCATTTTAATATAAATCATTCTGAAACCTTATCATTTTTGCTGTGCAATCTTATTATGCACAAAACCTGTGCTTATATTGTGTAGCATGCTGCAAGTAGTATGAAAGCTGGCCATAAATTTAAACATGAATTGCAGGAATGTGGCAAGAATAGGTAAGCATTTGTAGAATAATTGGTTTTAGAGGCTAGCCATATCATCTCTTGTAATTAAAAAGCATTGTGGTATCAGCTATAAATACAGAAGCATCTGACAGAATAGCTATAACATCCTCTCTTCTTATTAGTGTTCTTAGTATTTTTGGTCAAAATGACTCTGCTAACTACAACTGTTGAAGCATAAGCCAGTCTGTCATGACATTGTTTACTGTGCCCTTGGTTAAAGGGATCAATGGTATTTTGAAGCAGGAAGAATTTTATGCTTGCCAGGTAATCTGAGCCCTAACTATATCCTTCGTTCTATGAAGTCAATGCAACTGAAGGAATGAATTGAAAGTTTTGCTTCAAGAAGCTGTCTGGATTAGAGATTTGGAAAAGACAGCAGAGACAGTGAAAAGCCATGAAAAAAATACACAACCAATCAAATTTCCCAATCATTGAAACAATATTCACCGAAGTATATCATATCAGGACTGCAAAAATCTGAATGACCACTTAAGGGGAAAGAAAGGTTTTTGCATCTTTCTCCTACTATTTAATAGTTATTAGGAATATTGTTGTTATACGATAAGGCAGGAGGCATCATCTTTTTTGAGACAGACAGGCAGGCATTGAATACTCAAGTAACAATAGCAATAGCACTTTGACTTATATACCGCTTCACAGTGCTTTACAGCCTTCTCTAAGTGGTTTACAGGGTCAGTATATTGCTCCCAACAATCTGGGTCCTCATTTTACCAACCTCGGAAGGCTGAGTTAACCCTGAGTCAGTGAATTTGAATTGCCAAACTGCTGGCAGTTGGCAGTCAGCAGAAGTAGCCTGCCGTACTGCATTCTAACCACTGTGCCATCACAGCTCAGTAGAGCTGAGAGTTGGCAAAAAGAAGTGTCTCTTTGCATAGTGTGCCTTCTGTGAGCCCTGTCATTATGAAATGGCATCTTTAAAATGATTCTGAAATCAGAATTGGCAACTGCAAGTGCAAACATGCAATTCTTGGTGGTAAATTGGAAAAGGCAACTGCTGCAGTTTTCTCCTTTTAAGATCCACAAGTAACAGCAAATCCTTCCTTAAGATAAATTAAGAGGCTAAACTTGTTTATATAAAGACTTTGTGTTCAATAAGTATTTCCCCCACTTGAATAGGGTTATGATAATGATAACTTATAGCATCTCCCACAAATTTGTAGTAGTGTTAATTGGAGCCAATGAGGTGTGGTAGGCAGAGTATTAGGGTACGAAGATGCAAGTGCAGTTTTCTGTTAACTGCGAAGTGACTATAGTACTTGACTAGTAAAACCACCAGCAACTTGGCTCCCTATTTCAGGCTTTATATATAGGGCTGCTCATAAGTACTCTTTTTAATTTTTGAATTAAAATTAAATTAAATTCCAATTAAATATTGGAAAGTCTGCACCTGACTCTTGCACATTTGCTTCAGAATAGCATATTTGAGCAGGAGGGCAACTGTTAACATGTACTAATGATTAGACATAAAACAGATATCAGAAAAACAATCAAATCACAATTCCTGTTAGCTTGAATGATTTAGCTTTATATGAATGTGAAATTCCAGACATTGCCTTCGTATAAATCATTGTGAACTGATTGACAAACATACTAAAACATTTTATTTAACCAGAGTCTGAAAAGATGATTTATTGAAGACTAGATTATTCTAACCATGGTCTGGTAAGTCAGCTGAATCTGGAATAATTTTTATGATTAATTAACTATTATTATGCTAGAAAAATTACATTGTGTATGGGTCAACCACAGCATGGAACAACACTTCTAATAGCATCTTTGTTGTTCTTTTTCTGTTTTTCATTCTACAAGGCTGAAAAAAAAATCTCTCTCATTTCTTAAAACAAATAGTAGTAAACAGCATTGCAGCAAATGCAAAGTTGCTTCAATTATATGGTCATGTTGTGCAGGGAGGTAAGTAGCCACTACAGCCACTAACTTGATTTTCTATTGGATGATTGTCAGGTTAATACTAAGCATAGTTCACTGTGACATCCAAACATCATGTAAAACTGGCAGCCCTCAGAATGGAAAGCAGACAGATATCATTCTGAATTTTTAAAAAAGTGTCCAGCTATTGCCCAATAGTTCTACTTATATTAAATATTGCAAAGTTTGATTTTTAATTTATTTTCCTTCTGTTTTCAGAGCCTACAGCAAAGTGCCATTTCTTTAACACAGATTTTGACAGGAAACAATGAATTTCATTATCAGGTTGTCTTCGAAGACACCAGTGTTGACAGATGTTACAAAGATTTCAACCAAACAATTAAAAAAACCTGATTTGACAGAGAATGAGTTATTTAGGGTTTCCCATCTTTACCTTTTCTACTGCTAATGCACTTCATTTTGAATCTAATCAAATCATGTCCCTATGGACTTCAATTGACCTGCCATCATCAAAACTGCAATAATTAAAGTAATGTCTGAACTTATCTAATCCAGAGATTTGGTTGTAATACAAGAGAAATAAAAATTACTGATATTGTAAAAAAGGTGAAATTATATCTGGGATAGTCAACATTTTATTACTTTGACATTTTTTTGCTGCTGTCTTCCATTCTAACACAATCTAATGCAAATTTACTCAGAAGAAATCATGCTGAGTTTAGTTTATTCACCTTCAATGTTTTTTTTTTTTTTTACTGTGGGCAACCCAAACTTGCTTGCACTTGTTTTGACTGTCTATATAGTATTTGAGAAAAATGTGGATCCCTTTAAAAAATTGTTATAGTATTGGCTAAAATTTTCAAAGTTTTTGCCTCTTTTGTAGATTCCCAAGATGAAATATAGGCTACTTTGATTTCCCTACATACACGAACACTAAATACTCATGTGGTCCCTTTTACGCTTGCCTTTATTTTACCTTAGAAAATTTCGTGATTATGTTTAAATTCAAGTATTTGAGAAGACCAACTTCATTTTTATATAACACCTTCTATGAAAAACAGCCTTCTCTAAAAATTGATCCATGCAGACTAATTCTCCTGAGAAACATCCCTTAATGCTCTGCTGCAGGGATGTCAAACTGCCGGCTCGCAGGCTGGTTACATCATATGGAGGTTGTGCCCATCCCAGCTCCAGCAATGCAAAAAAAGTTGCGATACGTCACGACAGGTCACATGACACAGTGAGTTTGACATCCGTATTCTATTGCAATCACATTCTCTCTCATCAATTGATCTGTCCCTATTCAATTAGGGAAGGCTAGAGATTTGTTTTTTTTGGTTTTTTAGATTTGACAAGACTGGCAAAGCTTTACAAACTCAGGATTCTGTCCATAATACAACAGATTGAAAATTGAAGAATGCCTGTTACTTTGTTGATAAAGTTGAATGTAGAGTAAATCTTTAGGTTTCAAAATATGCTGATCTAGAATCTACTGGAGATATATACTGTAAGAAGCTTCTCTGTTGCAAAGATTCTATGTATGTAGCAAATATTAGATTAAAAATTAGCCCCATTGTTATTGTCACTATGTATGAAAAAAATCTTTAATTATCTATAGTATGAGTTATTTAGACCAATTTATACAAAACAATCTCCCTGATTTAATTCACCAGAGGAAAGCCACAGAAGAAACAAAAGCAGAGATGGGTGTTCCTGTTGGCATGAAGATAGCTCTTTGGAAAACAAATGCAGTATAATTTGAAGTTTTGCAAATGACTTTTTCCCCTAAAACGTTTAAACAAACTTTTATAGCTTCCCTTGGATTTAATTGTATGTAGATATAATGCATTTATTTATATTATTTTCATAATCATTAATAATTGGTTGTCATTTTTGGCTTTGGATTAGATCTGTGGTTTGAGTAAATAACTGCAAGACAGTCTTAGGACTTCCACTGGCTGGAATGAGTGTATTCATGTGTGAAGCAATAATATGAAGCCCAAGTAATCTTGGGAGGCTATTGCTGTTATGTCTCTTGCATATTATTGAAGTTGCCAAAAGCTAGAAAGCTGCTGCCACAAACTTCATTAATACTAAAGATATTAAAATTGGTGAGTAAAACAATGGGTAAAAGTTATGAATGTTGCTTTGCCAGTTTAGTTATGTAATGTCTTTTTGAGCAATTATATGTTCCAAATGTAGTCCATCTATCACACATTTTTCACACTTGTAACAAAACTGCTTACAGTGAAAAATGTTTAAAACTTCCTACTTTTACATCTTCCATTTCCTCTAAACACATTGTTTACATCTAGAGGATAAATATACTACGGTATTTTTTTCTACGGCAATCAGCAACAACGAGCATACCCTGATGAAACATATAAACTGCAGTTTAATGTGCAACACTGGGTAGAAAACATTTTGAGCTGTGTTAATTTTTTAAAATTATGCTGTGATTCTTTATTTTGCATATTGTTTTGTTCTAAGTAGCTATCTGTAGCAGGTAATATATAACATTTTATATGAATAAATACACTAGGAATCCACTAACTCATTCCAGTCTCTCTTTTTCTGTATCCTTCGCAGTTTCTGCTATGCAACAATAACATCAAGAACAGCGCGTGACAAATACTGCTTCCATCTCTCTCGCGTTCCCTCCGAGGGCACCGCCCTAAGAACCAAGAACAGCCTGACTACGCATGCGCACACCTCTGCTTCTTTTTCGCCGAGTGCCGCGCCGCCTTTTCCTTCCCCTCCCTCCGCAAGAACGGATTCAAGCGTACTCGTACACATGCGCCGACATCAATTGACGTGAGAGAGCAGCGGTGCCTTTCTGTGGCTTATTGAGGCTGCAGTGCCATCTGGCGACCAACTTCTCTGTTACGAATTCCAGCGCATGCGTAGTTCCTGCGGATGTGGGCGGACGCGCGCCTCCTGTGTAGCTTACGTCACGTTTACGTAGGAGGTAGTTAGAGTACTCCGTGGGAAAAATGGAAGGTAACACAATTGGATTTTAGGCTGCGATACCTATATTCTGCGTTTTCCAACTCAACTGTTGCTCAGATGTACTGGAATAATTGGTCCCAACAATCACAGTCAAGAGATTTATACTTATCTGAGTAACTTATCTGGATTAGTATAAAATACTAACACGTAAAGTAAATCAGTAATATAAATATATAAAGATATGATTATTGTGCTGGTGCAATGAATAAGGATAGAAGAATAAAATGAAAGCGTAGAATGTTAATTTCATAAGAACAGTTTAGGATGAAAGGATAATTTCCTGGGATGCAGCAGTGCAAAATATAAGACAAGTGGTTCATCTCTTGCAGATGGTACTCAGTGGTATTGTGCCTTGAAATATAAAGGTCCTATTATGTCTTATAGTCATTAATAGGGCTACTCTCTGTGTGTATATTGTAATCTTTAGATCAGGGGTGTCAAAACTGCCGGCCCATGAATCATGCGGAGGCTGTGCCCACCCCAGCTCTGGCAATGCAAAAAAAGTTGCGATACATTGCAATATGTCATGTGACTGGTGACCCGTGCTTTAGACTTATGATGATAACTGATTCCATACACATCCATAGTTAGGTGAAGTGAGTGTAATTTAAAATCCAGTTTCTTTTTCTGCCCTGAATCTGAAGATACTTTCTTTGATTATTCAGCAATGGATGTAGGCTAAAAACGCTTGGAACGCAGAACTTTAATAGTGGTAATAAACAGGGAAGAGTGTTTATGTGAAATTAAAATGTATAAAAATTTTTTTGTGATTTTTATTTTTGAGTCATTTGGACAGATGAAATATTAGGGATAATAAACAATACAAAATACAGTACTAGCTGTTAGATAACATTAGAAGCACAAAGAAAAATGTAGCTTCCTAAGTAAGCCGATTTCATCCCTCTAATGTTAGGGATAATCAGCCTGATGGCCTAATGGTGAAAATGTGCACTCATTCAGAAGATTGAGAGTTCATTTCTAGATAGCAGCAGATATTTCTCTCCTTGGGCTCAAAAAAAAAAAAAAAAATTTCAAATTCCACATTGACATCAGGAAGGACATTTGGCCAGTAAATGCTCAGCTCCATCCAGTTACCCCAATTCTACCCTGAATATGGACTACAGCAGGCATGTCAAACTGCTGGCCCGCAGGCCGGATGCGTCACTCCGAAACCATGCCCACCCCATTGCCGGCAATGGGGAAAAAGTCATGATACGTTGCACGACGTCACGTGACATCGCGAGTTTGACATGCCTGGACTACAGGGTCATAGAAGGGGAGTTTGTTTATGTCAGGGGTAATACTTCAGATGTCTTTTGGAATTTTCTCAAAATAAATTTTATTATGATTAACTATTAATCACTTTGGACAAGAACTTTCCAATATGATTAAGAGTGTGAGGAGGAATTGACTTCTAGGAATTTGAAACTTACTGAAATCATGAATTTCTTATCCAGTAGGTGGCATCCCTGAAATCTATTCCCATTTATGTAAATGGTGAAAAAGACATTAAATCCTGGTAATGAAAGAATGCAAGAACACCCCATTTAAATCTGGCTGGATTAAACTGATTCCCCTAAACTGGTTGCTGTTCATAGATATATTATCTCTGTGTTAATCAACCAATCCTTCATGCAGGCTGGAGAGGGATTGCTAAAAGGCTGGAAGTGGCCCAGAGGCCACTGATATATAATAGTAAAATATTAATGTAATTTACAGAATTTTCCCCAGCAATGGGGAAAAAACTCCGGTACGTTGCGCAACGTCATGTGATGTCGCGAGTTTGACATGTCTGACTTAGAACTATCACAAAGTATTTCTACAGAATCAGTCATTCCAAAAATGTGTACAGACTATAAAAGAACTGTTATGTCATTAGAAATATAGCTAATTGGAAAGTTGCTATTTTAACACTTATAGCTATGCACAAGAAAGTATACTTTCTTTCGAATTTGAATATAAATGAAGAGGGGTACTTAACAACAGTTCACCACAAACTTCTCTTAAATGCTTTTGCATACTTGAAAAATAATAGGAAAAATTCCTTGAACTCTAATGCAGAAAATGGTCTTTAGTTACTGGAAAAACTATTATTAGAGAGGTAGATATCCTTTCTCACTGGTTTTGGAGTGCAAATATGAACCCTGCTTATTTCTTCATCTTGTACCATAGTACATCCTGTTTTCCCTAAATTCATTTATGATTGGTATGTCACTGTTAAGTCTGAGTATACATGTTCTCATAAATAAGCACTTTATTCTTCAAAGCAGTTATGCAATTGTAGCTATCTTTCCCCACATCAGAGGAAAAAGGACAGATAGCAAATATCTTCTTTAATATTTAAAGCTAAGAAATAACATCAGTATTTCTGTTGTATACTGCAGCACACCTGAGTTGCCTTATTGGAGGGATGGGCAGAATATACATTTAATGAATAAGTAAAATTATTGATGAAGGAACATTTAACTATATTTTAAGTGCCATCATATATTGGTTTACATAGTATAGCAACTTAAAGTTAATTATTGAGGCATTTCATGCATGGAGATTAGTTTACTTGTGAGGAGGAGAAATTAGTGCAGCATGTGTAATAAGGATCTGTGTATATAGGAAGAAATCATAATTTACTCTGAACAAAAAGGCTGAAACCTGAGTTAAGTAAAAAAAAAAATGTCAGATTGGCTTCAAGGCTAAATGAGAGGAAAGATAAACAATACAAGAAGCACTTTAATTTATAGGAAAATAGTGTTGAAGGTTTAAGATGGGTGAGGTCAGATGCATCATAGCGAAACTGTGCCCACCCCATTGCAGGCAATGGCAAAAAAGTTGTGATAAGTCATGACACGTCACGTGACATTGCAAGTTTGACACTCCTGGTTTAAGAAGCTTTTCACTTTGACAACTAATAGGGGAACAGTTTGGTAATCTGGTACATTGTATAATAATTCAAAGTATTTTATATAGCTGCAAATTATTTTTTAAATATGTTAGGAGAAAAAACATTAAAGCTTTGCTTCCTATTAGAGAGTATATGGTGTCAAACAAGGTTAAGCAAGCTTTTATGCTAATTGACATATCTGAAACTTTGGGCAGATGTTGAGGGAATTCTCACAAATTATCAGGAAGTAATTCAATGTTGAGTTGTTTGATTTAACTAGAAAGTTAATATATGTATAATAAGAATTTCCTTTCCTCTGTTATTTTGATGGATTTTGTTAGGTTAAGTGCACTGAAACAAGTGTACTGTCACTTATACATAATTGAATTTAAACTGAACTCTACTTTATACTCCAGTACCTATAAGCTACCTATAAATCCTCTGCCTTTCAGGCCATATTCCCCTTGTTCCCGTACTGTACCCAGCCTTTATAATGTTAATCCTGTATTTTTCCTTTTGTAAGATATAGCCTATAGTCATATAACATGCTTAATATGCTCAGTCCTGTTTTCTAGTTTTAAATGTTTTATACTTTTACATTAAAAGTAACCATAAAGATATGCTGCTGGCATTCAAACAACGTTGGGGTGGATTAAAGTATCCTACTTGTAATCAAGTAATGCAAAGTTGGCCCTTTAAAATGGGGTTGTTGTTTTTAGTTAGAAGATAAAAATAGTTAAAGACAGTAGCCATCCTAGGCCATAGGAATCACAACAAATTTGGTTAAATCTATCTTTTTACCATTTTGTGATTAGAAAGATAAAGTAGTATTTCAGATCAAGTATTTTTTCACTTTAATATTCAGAATTTTCTGAAAGTAACAAGATATGAATCTTAACATAAAAACCTCATTTAAATGTAATATGATTCCTTGTTATAGTTTAATTTGATTTCATATTCTCCCCTACTCGTTGTGAGAAAACAACCTTCCTTATTTTTAAATAATAAAACATGATCATTTTTGTTCTTCTAAAACAGGGGTGTCAAACTGCCGGCTCATGGGCTGAATGCGTCATGGCAAAACCATGCTCACCCTATTGCTGGCAATGGAAAAAAAGTCACGATACGTCACAACATATCACGTGACATTGCGAATTTGACACCCCTGTTCTAAAAGTAGTAGATTATTCAACATATGAAAACAACTTTGGATTGCAAGCATAAACATATTTGGATAAGAGTCATGATAACCCATGAATAATGTGTGGCTATTCAGATCTTAAATGGAAAATGTGCTTTGGAAGTAGTAATACTTTTGCTATCCACACAAGCCCAGGAAAATACAAATTTAACTTTAACTACCCAAAGGAATCACTGAGCTCTGTCACCATTTCTTTAATGTTTACTTAAATCCAAAACTAAACATTTTCCTGGGACAGCATGGCTATTTTGTGAGATACATAGATCATATGGACGGACAGACAGACGCACATACATACATAATGGTTTTCTCTATATCTGGATGTTCTCTTCAGTATAATTCCAGATGCCATGAATCTGCCCACTAGGTTTCATATTTAGTGTGAATATCAAACTATTAACCTTCCTTAATACGGTTATATCACACAGCTATCTACTCTGGTACTACGTATTCTAACTGTAAAAACACTGAAATAGTTCTAGTTCTTTGATTTTTGAAATATTTTAACAGGTAACAAAAACTTGATTATTGGAGGACAATTTTGCTCCCCTCTGTACAATTTGATAGGGCTGATATGCTCCAGTTCCATCAGTTAAACAATGGCATGTTACGGGACCAGGAGGCATGCTTTTCCTGTCCCCTCCCAAATTTACTTGGCCTGTTCCTGTCAACCTTTAAAAAGGCCCTAAAGAAATGGGACTTTCAAACCTCTGCCAGGAACTGTGCCAGAAAGTCAGATAAGCCTGCCATATGATACAAGTCATGCATCTGTACTTTGGCAAGGTTTGGCTTATAGTATTATGTTTCATTATTTCATTATTTTGCTTTTTCAGAGGTTTCACATTTTAATCCTTATTAGCCAATCATTTGGGAAATGAGTGATCATCTACAGCATGGGTGTCAAGCTCAATTGCGTCACATGACATATTGTGACTTATCGTGACTTTTTTGCCTTTGTGGAGCCGGGGTGAGCGTGGCCTGTGTAGGATGCATCCGGCTCGCGGGCCACCAGTTTAACACCCCTGATTTACAGGTATTAAATAATACAGTACCAAGGGTTGACATCTGAGAGTTTTTTTAATATGCCAGGTGTGACCTCTAACAGTGACCTACAGTTCTTCCCCAGATGTTTCTTCATCTTTAAGGAATCTCTCTATAAACAGGTTTAGGTTTGTAGTTATATTAACTGGAACACTGAAGAAACTGCTTGGCATTTGAATCATTATCTTCATTTTGTGTCATTCTGATAAATCTGGGGTCTTCTTTTAGAGCAATTAGACAAACTGGTTCCACAGAATGCACAGTTGCTATCTTGTGGATGAGAAATAATATTGAAACATTTAACAGGAATACAATTTTGAATTTTAAATGGGCATTGCTTGGGACCATCTCACCTTCCTTTGTTTATATATTTATTTAACTAGCTATCACTGGTATTTCCAAATTGAAAGTGTGTGGGGTGAGAGTTGAGCAAGCAGTATTATAGATGGCTGGAGGCAGTGGGAAATGGATGATTTGCTTCTCTTTTGGATCAGTTGTTTGAAGTAGATAGTTTATGCTATTGACTAGGAATCCATTTCTGCCTATAATAGAATCTAATTCTTGCTATCTAGGACTATCAGGTTAGGATTCTGAATGAAGGAAAAGAATGAAACAACAAACTGATATATAGGTAGTCCTCACCTTACAACCATTCAGTGACTGTTCAAAGTGAACAGTACTGAAAAAAGTGGGTTATGACTGTTTTTCATACTTACAATTGTTGCAGCATTCCCCTGGTCACGTAATCAAAATTTGGATGCTTGGCAACTGACTCATATTTATGATATTTGTAGTATCCCAGGGTCATGTGATCACTTTTTGTGACCTTTTGACAAGCAAAGTCAATGGGAAAACCACCTTATTACTGACTTAACTGCAGTGATTCACTTAACAACTATGGCAAGAAAGGTTGTAAAATGGGGCAAAACTCACTTAACAAATGTCCTGCTTAGGAATAGAAATTTTGGGCTCAATTGTGGTCGTAAGTCGAGGACTACCTGTATTCATATGTGTACAATGTACAATTATCCTTTCAATATTCTTTGTTTGGCCCATCTTTTCTGTTGCAGATGGT